ACTGTGTGTTGCTGTTACACTGTGTGTTGCTGCCACACTGTGTTGCTGTTACACTGTGTGTTGCTGTTACACTGTGTGTTGCTGCCACACTGTGTTGCTGTTACACTGTGTGTTGCTGTTACACTGTGTGTTGCTGCCACACTGTGTTGCTGTTACACTGTGTGTTGCTGTTACACTGTGTGTTGCTGCCACACTGTGTTGCTGTTACACTGTGTGTTGCTGTTACACTGTGTGTTGCTGTTACACTGTGTGTTGCTGTTACACTGTGTGTTGCTGCCACACTGTGTGTTGCTGTTACACTGTGTGTTGCTGCCACACTGTGTGTTGCTGTTACACTGTGTGTTGCTGCCACACTGTGTTGCTGTTACACTGTGTGTTGCTGTTACACTGTGTGTTGCTGCCACACTGCGTGTTGCTGCTACACTGTGTGTTGCTGCCACACTGTGTGTTGCTGTTACACTGTGTGTTGCTGTTACACTGTGTGTTGCTGCCACACTGTGTTTCTGTTACACTGTGTGTTGCTGTTACACTGTGTGTTGCTGCCACACTGTGTTGCTGTTACACTGTGTGTTGCTGTTACACTGTGTGTTGCTGCCACACTGTGTTGCTGTTACACTGTGTGTTGCTGTTACACTGTGTGTTGCTGCCACACTGTGTTGCTGTTACACTGTGTGTTGCTGCCACACTGTGTTGCTGTTACACTGTGTGTTGCTGTTACACTGTGTGTTGCTGCCACACTGTGTGTTGCTGTTACACTGTGTGTTGCTGCCACACTGTGTGTTGCTGTTACACTGTGTGTTGCTGCCACACTGTGTTGCTGTTACACTGTGTGTTGCTGTTACACTGTGTGTTGCTGCCACACTGTGTGTTGCTGCTACACTGTGTGTTGCTGTTACACTGTGTTGCTGCCACATTGTGTGTTGCTGTTACACTGTGTTGCTGCTACACTGTGTGTTGCTGTTACACTGTGTTGCTGCTACACTGTTGCTGTTACACTGTGTGTTACTGCCACACTGTGTTGCTGCCACACTGTGTGTTGCTGTTACACTGTGTTGCTGCTACACTGTGCGTTGCTGTTACACTGTGTTGCTGCCACTGTGTTGCTGTTACACTGTGTGTTGCTGTTACACTGTGTTGCTGCCACATTGTGTGTTGCTGTTACACTGTGTTGCTGCTACACTGTGTGTTGCTGTTACACTGTGTTGCTGCTACACTGTTGTTGTTACACTGTGTGTTACTGCCACACTGTGTGTTGCTGCCACACTGTATGTTGCTGTTACACTGTGTTGCTGCTACACTGTGTGTTGCTGTTACACTGTGTTGCTGCCACTGTGTTGCGGTTACACTGTGTTGCTGCTACACTGTGTTGCTGCCACACTGTGTGTTGCTGTTACACTGTGTGTTGCTGCTACACTGTGTTGCTGTTACGCTGTGTGTTGCTGTTACACTGTGTTGCTGCTACACTGTGTTGCTGTTACACTGTGTGTTGCTGCCACTGTGTGTTGCTGCTACACTGTGTTGCTGCTACACTGTGTGTTGCTGCTACACTGTGTTTTGCTGTTACACTGTGTTGCTGCTAAACTGAGTGTTGCTGTTACACTGTGTTGCTGCCACACTGTGTGTTGCTGTTACACTGTGTGTTGCTGCTACACTGTGTTGCTGTTACACTGTTTGTTGCTGTTACACTGTGTTGCTGCTACACTGTTGCTGTTACACTGTGTGTTACTGCCACACTGTGTGTTGCTGCCACACTGTGTGTTGCTGTTACACTGTGTTGCTGCTACACTGTGTGTTGCTGTTACACTGTGTTGCTGCCACTGTGTTGCTGTTACACTGTGTTGCTGCTACACTGTGTTGCTGCCACACTGTGTGTTGCTGTTACACTGTGTGTTGCTGCTACACTGTGTTGCTGTTACACTGTGTGTTGCTGTTACACTGTGTTGCTGCTACACTGTGTTGCTGTTACACTGTGTGTTGCTGCCACTGTGTGTTGCTGCTACACTGTGTTGCTGCTACACTGTGTGTTGCTGCTACACTGTGTGTTGCTGTTACACTGTGTTGCTGCTAAACTGAGTGTTGCTGTTACACTGTGTTGCTGCCACACTGTGTGTTGCTGTTACACTGTGTGTTGCTGCTACACTGTGTTGCTGTTACACTGTGTTGCTGCTACACTGTGTTGCTGTTACACTGTGTGTTGCTGCCACACTGTGTTGCTGTTACACTGTGTTGCTGCTACACTGTGTTGCTGTTACACTGTGTGTTGCTGCCACTGTGTGTTGCTGTTACACTGTGTGTTGCTGCTACACTGTGTGTTGCTGTTACACTGTGTTGCTGCTAAACTGAGTGTTGCTGTTACACTGTGTTGCTGCCACACTGTGTGTTGCTGTTACACTGTGTGTTGCTGCTACACTGTGTTGCTGTTACACTGTGTTGCTGCTACACTGTGTTGCTGTTACACTGTGTGTTGCTGCCACACTCTGTTGCTGTTACACTGTGTTGC